AAGCAACATATGCAAACCGGTATTGCGGAGACGATTGAAAAGTTCCTGAAAATCGTCGGTAAGTAATCCTCAAATCGCTTGCAATATTTGACAAATTTTCGATGCGTGAATAAACACCGATGAACAAAATTTATTTTTTTTGAAATGATTCGCTCAGCTCGCTATTAAAGTCTAACTCAGGTTTCTGCAACTTTCTATTCATGGTTATCTGTCCTCGAAACAACTGTTTATGACTTATTTGATTGCATTTAGACGCTTTCCTTGTTCGTCCCACTCTTCTCATTGACAAGCAAACAAACAAGGATAAGTCCACTCATCACCAAGAGAAGGAAGGAAAGAACGCCACCGGTAGTGGTGTTCGCTATATCACTACTACCGTAGCTCAAGCCACAGTGACTACTCTTCTCGAAGCTCTAGCCGTCCTCGCTCAAGCCGGTTGTCTTGCCAACCTGCCCGCGGGGTCCACTGTCCCCACCATCGAGCCCTCCGGCGCTCTTCCGTCCTGTGGGGAGAGTAAGGCTAATTTAGTGGCGCGTGTCGCCCTCTACCTCACTCTTCCGCCTTCACCCGTCATTAGTGCGACCACCAACAGTGGGACAGCAAATACTTCGGCAACGAACAAAGCGAGTGAGGAACCGTTGCCTGTGATGGCGGGACATCAGCGCGTGTGGTTTGCTACCCTCCGTACTCTCGCTTGCCTTTGCACTGGTGAACCATCAGAAAATGTTTCTGCAGCAGCTCACGAAAAGGGAACCGAGCCGCGTGTGTCCACTCACCCGCACCTAATGTTCATCATTGAAGCTATGTCAAAAATGCAGGAGGTTAGAGTTCTTCTCAATGTTTGTAGGAGCCGCAAATAAGCTTTGCAATGATGTTTATGGTGTATTGAATCATCTCAAAAGTTTTGGTAGTTTTCATTCATCCTGGGTTTAAATTAAACTTTGTCTTTATGCAAGATGGAGTCCTGTGAAATTCGCATAGTGCTTTGAAACGATGTGATCTAACCACACCTTACAATTCATAGGTCAAACCTTAAGCAACTTAATTTACCTGGAATTGACAGCTATATCATTAGAAGTATTATGCACTCCATTGAAATGCCAAACGATATCGCGTTCTTTTTGCTGAGTTCAACGTTTATTGTTACTTTTGTGTCCAGGTGCGTGATCCGGCACTTCAGTTGGCAGTGGGTGCAGCAATGGCGGATGCGCTTTTGGGTGCAGCCTCCCCTTACAAGGGTCTGTGGTTCGAGCGCATCTATCCACTTCACGTACCTTCAGGCGCTTCTGAGGCCGCTGCGCGCTCTCCTGCTGGTCGCTGGTTGGCTGAACGCTTTGTTGCCTTGCTTACTCACAAGCCTGGGCAGATGAAACCGCCACCTGCGATGCTTGCTGTTTCCCTTTGGGCTTTGGCCATGGCGAGGCGGTTTGCTCCCCCACCTGTTGACCTTCTTTCACCCGAACTTTTCATCAACCTCCTCACCGAAAACGATGGTTAGTCGTGAAACTGATTTCGGTTCTTATTTTCAATAATCTTTTTAAAATATTTTCAATCCTCATTACCTTTGCAGAGGCTCTTCAATGTGTGGCAGCCAGTATTCTCGGCCTCATATATGATCGGAACGATGAAGTGGCTCGCATTGCTCTTGTCGAGAGCTTAAACAAAATGATTGCCGATGGTAAACGGTATGTTTATTTGCTTAAACCTACGATGTAACCCTCCCCTTTACTTATTTTAGACCTAACACCTCAGTGTTTCGTGAGCTCTGCAGTCTGGCGCACCAAATAGGTCGAGATGATATGTCACTTTCTTTGGTTGTATTGGCAACCACATCTCCACCGCCGAGCGTAAACACTTCAGTTCTCTTCCAACCGGTTAATGCTCTTGACGGCGCATCTGTTGGTCCAGCAAATGGTCCTGCGACAGCAGCAGTCTCTACTCCGTGGTTGACGCTTTGCGCGGTGGCATGCGCAGGCCTGGTTCGGCGCCTCGGTCGCTCCCTCGCTCCTGCCCTTCCGCGTCTTGTTCCGCGTGTCTTCATTCGACGTTACGATATGGCGCGACCGCGTATGCGCAATGCCATGCAGAAGATTTGGTTAGGTCTTATCCTCTACGCCACGTCGAATTCTGCTTCCAATGGAATGGCTAACCCCAGTGCGGCCTCAAAATCGGACTCTGGTGGCGCCAGTGCCTCTGGTCCTGCTGTCTCACCTGCTACGATTACCACCACATGGGAGAGTGGCAATTTGGCCAATGTCTCGGTCAACGCACTGGCTTCTGAATTGGTAGTTTACTCTAACGTTTTAACTGCTGAGTTCCATAAATGATTGGATGCAAAATTTCAGTTACATTCCAAATAGAACTGACTTTATCTTGTTGTTTTAAGGCTTATTTAGTTGCTCTTGGGTGGCACATTTTAGAGACAATTTCATTCATGGATTCTTAGACTGCAAGCTGCTAATGTGCAACATCGGCATTTATTTTTTTTACCAACTTAAATAGTGTTTACGGACAAATAGACACGCTTGACCATCGACCAAAAACATTCCAACTTTTTGCTGTTTGTAATTTTCATAAATCTGTTTGCAATACGGCGCGGACATCCAATTACCGCTTAAAGTTGATATCAGGTTTCGACAGAAATGTTGCTGCTTCACATTATGTGACGCTGAAAACAAAAAGTTTAGCTGACTGTAAGCCCTCATTGCTTGCGTGAGTCAACTGCATGCATTAAGGTTATTAAATTTGGCTTACAAATCTTGGTCGATATCCACCTCAAACCTTTTTTGTACATTAACTGATCCTGAAGTTGTGTTGTTTGACCAAAGTCACACAAATATGCGCTGGCATTTGTTTTAAGAGTTCTTGCGACTAAGTTTCAGATTTGATGACGCAACTTGTTCTAAGTCAATGACAGTCACCATTTTCACCTGCCGCGTTCCTCCGATTGAGTTCTGGCTCCCCTTCTGAGTTGATTGGTTATGGTTACAATACCTCAAATTCCAATCCCGCTATTGGTCAAACGATGTCATTCCTTACACCGTCTCAGGCTTGTTAGTGATAGCTGTTGCTCATTTTGTAGGCACAGATTTTTCCCCTTATGATCTTCATTCTATATGCCCAGGTTGAGGCCAATTTTAATGCCATCCTCTGTGAGATC